TCTTGCCTGGGGAATCCCATGGACAGAAGAGCCTAGAGGGCTGTAGTCCACGGGGTCGCAGAGAGTCGGACTCGATGGAGCGCCTGACACACACAGGGTAAATGAAAGTTTCAGATGTGTATCATGTCAGGCTTCAAAGCACGCCTTCTCCCTCCACCTTAAAACTCTGCTCTGCACTGCATCAGCTTTGTTCTAAGGCAGACACACCCCATGCGGGGACGAGATGACAGCTAAATGCCAAGGCGTACATTCTCAGAAACCCCAGTGTGAGGACACAGCCTGCTGTCTGAAGCGCCCAGGGAAGCTGTAAGTTCTGCACAGGGCCCCAGTGACCGGTGGGAAGTGGGTTCTCTGCCCTCGAGACTGGGATCCCTGCTCGGCCCTGAGCTGTGTGAGGGAAGTGTTAGTCTCGTGAATCACAAGGATGGAAACTGTCAGGCGTGGGCTCTGAGAAGAAACTCATAGTGCTGGGAGTGGGGACAGGTGACTGCTGGGTGAACAGAGCATCACGTTCACCCACCACCAGTGTCTTCACTTCCCAAAACCGAGACTCAACAGCTGTCACTGTCTGACTCAGGAATGAGTACAGTGAAAGAAGGAGTTTTGCATTTTGAAGCCTCCTATTCTCTGTGTAATATTGTTCAGCTGGGTTGACTGGTGTTGCATTGTGGCACCTGTCTGTTGCCAGGCTGTACTCTGGTTGACATAAGAAAAAGATTCTTTTATAGAAATCCCCTCCTTCTTTGCCCTTCATGCTGTAGCTTTGGTATTGTCTCAGAAATGGAGCTGCACAGAAGGAGACAATATTATTTGTCAGCAGCAATATGGCAGGAAACCCACTGATTCTTCCAGTAGACTTTCCTTTAAATATCTTCAATGTCTTGCAAAACAATCCCAGGGAACTGGCCTTCTCCCTTTGTAGGAAGTGCTCTTCACCTCACAGACCTGGGCAGAATGTTGACTTTTAGCATCCTTCTGTTATTTCCAGAAATTATTAACATGTCATCTTTCTATTGATATGGAATTTTTAGGAATATTTAGTATTCTCTCAGGTGAGTTCCCAGGATGAACTTTTGAATGCCTCGACAAGAAAAAAAAAGTGATCAAATGTTTAGCTGATAATTTGAAAAGACAATGCTATTTAATGAAGATGCTGACTGAACAGATTTTTGTCTTTTAAATGAGAAGGGTCCATTCTCAGCAATAGAATCTGTGCTTTTCATTTGTTTTGTGGCTCCCCTAGGAAGCAGTAGGTACCTACTTTGTGTTCGTTGCAAGAGCTAACTCAGCAAACTAGATTTCAACATTAGCAAGTGAGAGTCCATGTAAAAGATTCAAATTTATAGTGTATTTATTACATATGCAAAATAATGTAAAATTGATATTGAAAGGGGAAAATGCCTCTCATTGCTGGTATGAAAAGCACAACTATTTCATTAGACCTTTCTTATTCCACAAAGTGGGTTTACTTTCCTCATTCTCAAGAATATAGTGATAGTCCTTCTTGGAGAAAGTTCCTGTGGACCTTTCCCAGTTATCCCAGTAGGGGCAGTGTTTGCTTCCTTTTTCTAATTCTGCTTTTCAGCAGGTAACATAGGGCCTAATACACATTGCTTGTTTAATAAACATTTGTTGAATGAATTAACAAGTGCAAATGAATCATTGTTTTTATTTCATGATTTGATTAGTTTCAGAGACTTGAGAATCCACTTATGGGACAGAAAATGTCTCTACATTTACTGTGAGCGAAAATTATTTTGACAGGAACTTGAATAGGATATGAATCTCTTGAAAAAATAAATAGTTTACTCTTTGAAGCATAGTAACATGAATGTGTTTTTAAAATAAAAAGAATCAACTAAAAGCTGCCCAAGTCCCTCAAACAGTAAACCATATTTCCAACTGAGTAGTAACAGGTAGCATTTAATTTATGAGTCCTAGCAGGTATCCCTGCTTCAGAAACGAATTGAATTTAACCCCAGTATGAATTTGTAGTATGAAATGAACAGGAGGCAGTAAGAAAAAGCAAAACTGACCTTAACACAGTGACCGCATCCTATTAATACTTTCAGGCAGTGGAGATTACAGATGATGAATGATCTATAGGACAGCATAATTGTAGCATTGCTGCACAAGTAGAAGCTTGATGTATACAAAAGAGAGTCTGATTAAGGGTCATCAAAATGACACCAATGGATGAATAGTCTAAATCATGTCATGTTAGGTGAAAACACTAATTAGTTGTTCATTGTGTCATTAAAAAGAAAAAAAAAGTGATACCTAACATGGTCAGTTGCCATTTCAATTATGAATGGGCATTCTTTTCTTGTTATACTGGGAGACTGAACAGCTGGTTTCTTAAATTGTTTTTTCCTGGCATCTGGAATAGGCATTGTCAGTCAGACAGTAGTTTCAGATTTAAATCATTCCGACCAGGTTCTAGTAGATCCAGAATGGTAAATTATGATGGCTCGTTAATTGACTTCTCTTGGTGTAAATGCATACTAATTTCAGGCTCTCCAGGAAAATGCCTTCCTGTAAGAATAATCTGTTTAAATCTGTGGGATTTTCTCCAAAGTTTCTCTAGAGGAAAGGGGCTTTGCTTGCTGAGAAGGCTGTGGCTCCAGCCCTGCTTCATTGTGGGGCAACAGGAGACTGTGCCCTCGAGATTTATCCTTAAGGTGAGAGGAATCAGAATGTTCTGACTCCACGAGTGTGGAGTGAGTTTGTCACCAGATGTTCACATGAGTAAAAGCTTAGTCCCAGCTGGTTTTATCTGGCTCTCAGGCTCCACATCTGCCCTGTTTTCCAGCTCCAAGTGCTCATGCCATTGACCTCTTGGAAAATGATCACGATCTTAAACCCCATCTGGCCAATGGCTTCCTTGACACAATCGATGGATTCAGTTTTTGTTCCTCTCTCTCTCTCTCTCTATCTGGATTCTTGTTCCAATATCTCCTTGTATCAATAAAAACTTTAGTTGTCAATGATAGGAAACTATTTTAAATTGTTTTAATTTAAAAAAGAGGACATTTATTGGTTTGTTTTTTCAGTTGCTCATTTGATACATCTGTTTGCGACCCCATGGACTGCAGCATGCCAAGCCTCCCTGTCCTTCACCAACTCCTGGAGCTTGCTCAAACTCATGTCCACTGACTCGGTGATGCCATCCAACCATCTCATCCTCTGTTGTCCCCTTCTCCTCCTGCCTTCAGTCTTTCCCAGCATCAGGGTCTTTTCCAACAAGCTGGGTCTTCCCATCAGATGGCCAAAGTATTAGAGCTTCAGCTTTAGCATCTGTCCTCCCAGTGAATATTCAGGACTGATCTCCTTTAGGATTGGTTGGATCTCCTTGCAGTCCAAGGGACTCTCAAGAGTCTTCTCCAACACCACAGCTCAAAAGCATCAATTCTTCGGTGCTCAGCTTTCTTTATGGTTCAACTCTCACATACATATATGACTAATGGAAAAACCATAGCTTTGACTATATGGACCTTTGTCAGTAAAGTAATGTCTCTGCTTTCTAATATGCTGTCTAGATTGGTCAGAGCTTTTCTTCCAAGAAGCAAGTGTCTTAATTTCATGGCTGCAGTCACCATCTGCAGTGATTTTGGAGCCCAAGAAAATGAAGTCTGTCACAGTTTCCGTTGTTGCCCCATCTATTTCCCATGAAGTGATGGGACTGGATGTCATGATCTTAGTATTTTGAATGTTGAATTTAAAGCTAGCTTTTTCACTCTCTTTCGCTTTCATTAGGAGGTTCTTCCTTCCCACCAGCTTCTCAGGTGGCTCAGTGATAAACAAATCTGCCTGACAAGCAGGAGACATGGATTCAATCCCTGGGTCACGAAGATCCCCTGGAGAAAGAAATGGCAACCCACTCCAGTATTCTTGCTTGGGAAATCCCATGGACAGAGGAGCCTGGTGGGCTTCAGTCCATGGGACTGCAAAAGAGTTGGACATGAATTAGCAAATAAACAACAATAGCAATGATTGGGGCAGAAGTTACACTCAGCAACCTCAAAGTACTGCTCCATAAATTTTGTGTGGGTTCAGGAATTCATTTAGATGTGCAGTAGGCTCAGTAATTTCCCAAGTTTTCCATTTTTGCCAGATTCCTCTCCTCCTCTGCACTCAGATTAGAAGTCAACTAGAAACATGCAGGAATGTATAATCCTCCCATTCTGCTTGTCATTGTTTCAGTTGCTAAGCCCTGTCCTACCCTTTTCCACTCCATGGACTGACTGCAGCACGTCAGGCTCCTCCGTCCTCCACTCTCTCCCAGCATTTGCTCGAATTCCTGCCCATTCAGTCAGTGATGCTGTCTAACCACCTCATCCTCCGCTGCCCCTTTCCCCTTTCATTGTTGTTGCTGTTCAGTCACTACGTCGTGTCCGACTCTTTGTGACCCCATGGACTGCAGCACGCCAGGCTTCCCTGTCCTTCACTGTTTCCCGGAGCTTGCTCAAACTCACGTCCATTGAGTCAGTGGTGCCATCTAACCATCTCATTCTCTGTTGTCCCCTTTCCCTCTTGCCCTCATTTTCCCCCAGCATCAGGGTCTTTTCCAGTGAGTCAGCTCTTCGCATCAGGTGGCCAAAGTATTGGAGCTTCAGCTTCAGTCCTTTCAATGAATATTCAGACTTGATTTCCTCTAGGATTGACTGGTTTGATCCCTTTGTGGTCCAAAGGACTCTTGAGTCTTCTCCAACACCACAATTCAAAAGTGTCAGTTCTTTGGTGCTCAGCCTTCCTTTTGGTCTAACTCTCAAATCCATACATGACTACTGGAAAAACCATAGCTTTGACTATACATAGCTTTTGTAGCAAAGTAATGTCTGCTTTTTAACAGGCTGTCTAGTTTTGTCATAGCTTTCCCATTCTCATTATCTCACATTTAAATTTCTAACTGCTCTGTTACCTGCCCCAAGCTAAATCCACCGTTTCTGGCTAGTGAAACTCTGGGCTGTCATTACTTAAGCTGGGAGGAATGGACACACCTTCAAGCAAGAGGTCAATAAATTCATTGTTCTTGAATTCAGTTGGTGAATTCCAGTAAACACTTCTAAGTTGGTGCTTGTGTTTGATCATCGTTCAGTTGCTTTTAAAATCACTTTGTGCGCTTTCTTGTCTGTTTTCTTTGGAGGAGAATTGCCTGAGCTTCTCATGCAGCCATACCAGTAGCAGAAATGAATACTTGAAAATGAAAAGTCAGTGCCTTCACATGGCTGAAAATACAGTAAATATGTAGAGTACCGTGAAAAGTCTCCTTTTCAAATCTGCCTCCCTTAGCCTTCTTGGAAAGGAATCAATAAATATCAATAAATTAGTATATATCTCTCTAGAGATATTTTATATATGTGTGTATATGTATATATATGTACACACACACACTAGCATTTGTGGACATGTATTCATTTTCTCCTTTCTTTCACAAGTTTCTCTGCCTATTTCTTTGCTTACTGGAATGTTTTGCACCCACACGTAAAGACATCTGTTTTGTATTTTTTGTCTGGACCGTGGTGGGTCTCTGGCTGTGCAGGGGCTTTCTGTAGGTGCAGTGTGAGGGCTCTTCACTAGGCTGGCTTCTCTTCTTGCAGAGCCCTGGCTCTAGGGCTTGAGGCTTCAGTAGCTGTGGCGCCCGGGCTTGCTTGCCCTGCAGCATGGACTCTCCCCAGACCCAGGGTCAAACTCGTGCCCCTGTGTCGGCAGGTGGACACTAAACCACTGGACCACCAGGGAAGTCCTAATGACAGTTCTTAATTTTATGTCTGTTTCACCTAATACACACACACACACACACACACACACGCACACACACACACAATGTTTTGTATGTTCAGTGCTTACATTTAGATTTTAAAAATCTTTTGTTACTATAAAAATGCTTCACATAATAAAATAATAGCTAAATTAATTATATATTTCTATGTAACTGTGTATCCAAATTTAGCTACTTAAAACAGCTTCCATGCATGAGAAGTGCCCATGAACCAGCAATTTCCATGAATCAGTTTGCGTGGTTCCAGCTGAGAGTCTTAGGAGCCCACTGTCCAGGGCCTGGCATCCACCCAGGCTAGAGAACCCGGCCCCGCAGGGCAGCGACCACCAGTCCGCACTGTTGGGGGCGGGGCTCTCAACCCCTCGGCTGCACTGGTCTCTCCTTAGGGCTGCTTCGGGGTCTTCATGACACAGATGCTGGCTTTCCCAAAGTGACTGAGCCCAGAGAGAGAGTAAAGTGAAACCCACAATGCCTCCTGTGAACTAAGCTCAGAAGATACACTTCATCCTTCTTACAGTGTTTTGTTGATTAACCACATTCAATGTGGGAGGAGATAATGTGTGTGCTAAGTCACTTCAGTCCTGGCTGACTCTTTGTGACCCCCTAGAGACTGTAGCCTGCCAGGCTCCCCAGTCCTTGGGATTCTCCAGGCAGGAGTACTGGAGTGGGTTGCCGTGTCCTCCTCCTGGGGATCTTCCCGACCCAGGGGTTGCACCTCCAATTCCTGCATTGGCGGGGGTTCCCCACCACGAGCACCACCTGGGAAGTCCACTGAGTGCTTGGCTTAGCTGCTCAGTCGTGTCCGACTCTGCAGCTGCAGACTGTGGCCCGCCAGGCTCCTCTGTCCATGGGGATTCTCCAGGCAAGAACACTGGAGTGGGTGGCCTCTCCCTTCTCCAGGGGATCTTCCCAAGCCAGGGATTGAGCCCAGGTCTCCCACGTCGCAGGAGAATTCTTTACCATCTGAGCCACCAGGGAAGCCCAAGAGTGCTGGCTGCTGCTGCAGCTGCAGCTCAGTCGCGTCAGTCGTGTCCGACTCTCTGCAAGCCCGTAGGCGGCAGCCCACCAGGCTCCCCCGTCCGGGATTCTCCAGGCAACAAACCTGGAGTGGGTTGCCATTTCCTTCTCCAGTGCATGAAAGTGAAAAGGGAAGAAGTCACTCAGTCGTGTCCGACTCCTAGGGACCCCATGGACTGCAGCCTCCCAGGCTCCTCCATCAAGAATACTGGAGTGGGTAGCATATCCCTTGTCTAGGGGGTCTCCCAACCCAGGGATTGAACCAGGGTCTCCTACATTGCAGGCGGATTCTTTACCCCTGAGCCACCAGGGAAGCTCCACTGAGCCCTTATCGGGTACCAACTTCAAGGAGAAGGAGGGAGGAGACTACACCAGGGAACAAATACCATGAAGTAAAGCTCATGTCCGAAGCTGGCTGAAACAATATTCATGTCTCTTTTTCTATACCTATAGCTCTCTACTGCATATCTGTTTTGTATCTACCTATCCAATTATGTAAATTTTTTGCTCATGTATAAGGATATGTTCCTAGATGTTATTACTACATCAAATGGCATGTGCATTTGTAATTTTGTTGGACATTGCCAAGATGCTCTCCGTAGGGTCCAACTTACTCACTTCCTAATGAGTAGTCTTGCTTAAATTTCTAGTCTCTTAACTTTATTGGGTTATTTTACACCGTTAGAGTTTGTCATACTTCCTATGAACTATTGAAGCCTCTAAAACTGCAACTGTTAGGTTTAAGGGAAAAATTTACAGTGATGAAGCTATGTGTGAATAGCAGCTTTCTTAGCAATATATGGCGCCTAAATAAATAATGAGTTGCATTTGATCAGAGGAAAATTTAAGCTGTTTTTGTCAGAGAATTCCAAGACTGTCCTTCCAGGCTGTAGTTCTCAAACTGTGTTCACAGAGCACATGTCCTCTGAGAGTTTCCACAAGCAGAAGACAGAAAACATATTTAGGAAATATGAAGACTCACAAAGCACATTAGTAAACTAACAATTCTGTGAAGTCTTTCAGAAATTAAATCTACTCAGTTTAATATTTCTCAAGCTTTCTTGACAACGAGACCTTTTATTTTTAACATAATATATATTGCAACAATATTGCATACGGTTTCCAGTGGAACATGTTATGTGGACTTTTCTGACAAGGCATTCATTTCTTTTCCTTTTTAAAAAAAATTGCAGTGAAATTCACATATCATAAAACTTATTATTTTAAAATGGACAGCTCTGTGGTTCTTAGCATATTAACAAAGTTGTGCATGATCACCACTTTCTGATTCCAGAATATTTCCATCACCCTCAAAGAAACTCCATGCTTACATAGTTTCACTCTATCCCCACCACCCTCCTATCCCCGTCAGATCTGGAAATCACTGATATGTTTCTGTCTCTGTGAATCTGTATTTTTTTGACAATTCATATAGCTGATGGAGAAGACAATGGCACCCCACTCCAGTACTCTTGCTGGAAAATCCCATGGATGAAGGAGCCTGGTAGGCTGCAGTCCATGGAGTCGCGAAGAGTCGGACACGACTGAACGACTTCACTTTCACTTTTCACTTTCATGCATTGGAGAAGGAAATGGCAACCTACTCCAGTGTTCTTGCCTGGAGAATCCCAGGGACAGCGGGGCCTGGTGGGCTGCCATCTATGGGGTCGCACAGAGTCGGACACGACTGAAGCGACTTAGCAGCAACAGCAGCGGCAGCATGTAGATGGAACCATGCAATATATTGTTTTTAGAGTTTGGCTTCTTCTACTTTGCATAATGTTTGCAAGTTTCATTTATGTATCAGTACCTAATTGCTTTGTTTTTTTATTTAGAAAGCTTTGCTATTTTGCATCGAGAGAACTGAAACTTCATTAAACAAATCAGAATTGTGTATAAAACAATAGTGATTTTGTGCTAAGCCTTCAGCAGCAGATTTGTGTTGAAATATTTCATCTTCATTTTGATTCAGAGCTTTTGGGCTTTTAGGTTGCTGTTCCTTCAAATATGTGGTTTAGGTACAAATGTTTGCAGATGTTCCAAGCTTGATTTATTAAAATAGTTTCAGTACAAATCCCTTATGCAATTAAATGCCTATTCATGTGTTCTTTTCACAGTGAAATGTTGTTAACAAATAGTTCTAATATAATAGCATAACAGTTAAGGGAAAACTTGGGTGCAAGTGGCTAATAGTTACAAGCTGGTGTAAGTTTACAAAAGAGAGCATGTATTTTTTTAAACTCTGATTAAAATGCAGTGTGTGCACTTTGTGAAAAATTTGGAAAAGTACAAGCAGTATATATTACTTTTAATTCCAATACCCTACGATAAGCACTCTTAATAATTTGCCATTTTTTCCAATGTTCTTATTGTTATTAATCTTAAAAGTTCAGGAATTTCACCCCAATTTGTCCCAATGAGCATCTCTTTTCACGAATTTTGCTTATTGGTTTCCTGAATAGCTTCCCATCACACGTAGGAAAAAATCAGTCCAGCAGCGATGGGAGCAGCAGCACAGTTGTCACACTTGTTCGCTTTGATGTAAATAATTTGCTTAAATGTTGATATTAATTTGTTTCAGTTTGTATTGCATCTTTGAATTTTGAGATCATTTTAACCATTTAAAACAGAAAACTTTTAAAACAAAAAATAATTTGTGTGATTTACACAATCTACTTCTACTTTATTTTTTAAAATCCTTTAGTACATTGATGTCCATAGAACACATATTTTGTGGAAATCTTGATTATAACTGTGGTGTTTGAGAAGACTCTTGAAAGTCCCCTGGACTGCAAGGAGATCCAACCAGTCCATCCTAAGGAGATCAGTCCTGGGTGTTCTTTGGAAGGACTGATGCTGAAGCTGAAACTCCAATACTTTGGCCACCTCATGCGAAGAGCTGACTGATTTGAAAAGACCCTGATGCTGGGAAAAGTTGAGGGCAGGAGGAGAAGGGGACAACAGAGGATGAGATAGATGGCTGGATGGCATCACCAACCTAATGGACATGGGTTTGGGTAGACTCTGGGAGTTGGTGATGGACGGGGTGGCCTGGCGTGCTGCAGTTCATAGGGTCACAGAGTCGGACACAACTGAGCAACTGAACTCAACTGAACTGATTATAACATATTCATTTGTGATTTTACTGAAATATATTTAATGAAAATATATTCCATGTTATAAGTATAAAGCATTTTACGAATTATGGATTTTATTTCTTATCCAAATAGAGTACACAGACATCTAAAATAAAAGTTAAATTTGACACTTTGGCAATTTGCAAATTCTCAGT